CCCCCCCCAAATTGCACTCCTGTGAAACTCCTACAACAATCGAGTGACATCTTTGCCCTTTATTTGTTTTACAATTTGAATTTTAACATTGACGTTAATTGGTTGGTTGACTGACTTGAAGTCAACCGATTGAGATGACCAACAGAGTGACATCTGCGCCCTCTGGAGTACGTGTTGGTCGGTCGTGGTGTCAGACAGTATGACGATCTTGTTCGGTGTCTTTTGACATGGTTGACCAGAGCAGTCGATTGTGAGGTGGTTGTTCAGTCTGGACGCAAGTTTCGTCGCTCGAACGTGATCAACCGACTTTATCGTAGTGAATTGTGGCTCATTTTCCATTCTTCTTGAGTCACACAGAGCTCGTGTCCCGTTTACCTAATTCTTTTTTTGTCTCGGCTAGACATCCGATGAGACTCATTGTCGAGATAATTCACGCCTCACTTTCGGAAGATTTTGCCGCTACCGAGCGGGGAACCATCTCCAGTACTTGAACCTATCCCTGATTTGGAGACGTGATTTATTAATAACACTAACTATATTATTAATAAAGTTAGTATTATTCTCAATGTTGTGATATACTATTTAATAACAGGTAATTTACATAAGCATGAAATCAGATAATGAAAACTATTATTAATATATTATTTTGTGGACTATTAAATAGTATTATATCCTTAATGTCAACGTAGAGTTTGATTATCTAAATAATAAAATTGTTAAAAATTTATCCCAAGATAATAATTTAGTTATTAGTCAATTCATTAGCTGTTTTGTGATTATATATATTTATATATAAGCTTAATTGGTTGACTTAATTTTGGTTTCTTGCAGGCGGCAATAGCTTGCCGGGCATTGGGTGCTCGTGCTGGGCTGCCTTATAGGGCAGATCCGCGCTTAGCATCATTCTTGCGTCAGACTAACGGTTAAGTTCAACAAATTTGCAGGAGTTTCCCATACATTTTAGTTATTTTATTTGGTAAATGTCAGTAAATATTATCAACATGCTGAATTGAATTCCGAGTATATTGAATTTGCCTTGAAACTCACTAATGCATAAAATCATTTTTGAATTGAATTGTTACAGTTTTGGCACTTATAAACTTGAAATAGATCTCGAAATACTAGTGCAATTTGAGAGAGAGAAAGAGAGAACAAGTTTGATAACTGTGTTTATGTATTGTATATAATCATGTTTAATCCGAATTTATCTCTGAGCTTCTAGGAATAGAGCATAAGAAAATAACAAGGAAGAGCCAAGGATTAATGCATAATTAAATGAATATTAATTTGGGTTAATCTGGGGTAATTGAGGACTTCTCGGGTCGTTCAGACTGAGGGTTGTCCCTTTGACAGATTTAATTTGACATATTTTTGTTTTATATATTTTAGTTAACTAATTCTCATATCTCTTTAAAAGGTAACTATGAAAAGAATAAAAGGATTATAAAAATGAAACTAACATTGCTTGTCTCTTCAAATGCAAGTCAAAAATTTATGTTAACCAAGAATGAGTGGTGATTTTGGAAGATGTTCTAAAATCAAGTGATTAAATGGGGTTGAAAAAGCTGATGTGTTGATTTTGCGATGCTATCACTTAACCTAAATCTTACACCACCTGTCTTGTCGCTCGATTAGGTCATTGCTTTGGACGGGCCACATCTTATGCCAGACATATTAAATAAATATTGCCGCAGTCTTTGCGGTGAGCATGGTGATCACTTCAACCTCTCGAGCTCTAATAGTCTAGACTTACTGTTGAGGTGATTTGCACGCTACTTACTGTGGATTTTGTCACTAATGAGTGAGGAATCACCTTGAGAGCTTGACTTATGTCGAGTTAGGAGACATGTTTCAATCGATGCTTGAGTGTTGTAAGACAGACATCCGAGTAGAGTCCAAAAAATATAGACCATTTTCCCGTATTTTTTGGAAACTTGCTTGTGATGAACAAGTTCCTCAAGTGTTTGTGGCAAACTCTTTATATGTACAGTAATGAAATAAACTAATAAAAAAATAATGAGTTGTGAGAGAATATCTTTGAAGAGTCATCAGTTGATTTTTTTTTTTTTTTTTTTTTGTGGTTTGGTAGTTATTTTTCTAGCGGCATGCAGATGACTAATTGGAGGTGGCAGAGTGGATGTGGTTGAATGCGGAAGATCGAGTGTCGGCAGGGTCAACTCAGTCAACTAAACTGGGTCGTCATCTAAGTCGAGTTGGTCGCCCGGGCTGCAATTCATCGAGGCTGGGTTAATTAGGACCTAGTCAGGCCGAGCTGGATCCTCAGTAATTTTTGTTGTGTTGTTTCTCTTCTTGTTTGTTACATGATCTACACTTACCGCACATTTTAGTATGTTGAATCTGAATTCATCAGTGAATAACACCTTAAGGAAATAAAACATAAGAAAAGAAAAAAAGAAACGTAGAGAATAATATACAGTAAAATGAACATTAATATGGGATAACTGGGGTCTTCTTGGGCCTCTCCGGTCTTTTTTACTCTTAAAATAATCTCCTAATTATAAGGGAGAGGGTACAATATCTGAAGTTATATATTTGCTTCTGTTTTAGTGGGGGTCTTACATGGATATTTATGATATTTTACATATATGAGCTTGTCGTCTGGTTGCTTTTCGGCTCATCCGGCTAAACTTTATTGGCATCGAGTTTATAGGGCTAGCTCGGTCAGTTGAATGGGGTCGGTCATCTAGGATGCTAGTCGTCCGGGCTTTGGGTCGTTCAGGCCGCTGGTTGTCCCGACTTCAAGTCATCCCTCTCAGAGATTAAGTCTGATATATTTTTGTTATGCAAATCTTTTTTAATGTAAATTTAATATGCTAGTATGTCAAATTATTTTTTAGGGCTCTGTGAGAGGCAGCATTGATTTAATGAAGACTAAAGTGTCAAAATAGTTACATGAGACCGTTTTAGTCCTAGGGTTCATAAAACTGTGAAAATAGTTCTAAAATTCTTTAAATTTAGGTTGAAATATCTATTAGAGATCAATTAAATTTTTTTTTTTTGCACTTTTCTCCCTTAACAAATGATATTTGTGATATGCTGCTATTTTTAGGATTCTTTTATGGTTTTATTGTGTTATTTAGATAATTTATTAATAAGATTCTCTCAAAGTCAAATGTACCCAACTCCCAAACAGTCCCAGTAAAAAAAAAAAAAAAAAAAAAAACTTTACAAAGTTTGACAAAGACCGCCATGAATGCTTCTTTTGACTACCGAACATTATAAATGACTGCTGGGACGTTTGTAGGTTCTGATGAACGACCATCAATGCTAGTTCAAAATCTAGCCCCTCAATTCAGCATGACTACCGTTTCCTTTCTAATTGAGAATGTTAGAAGGAAAGTTGTCACATTACTTCAACTATTTCTTCCTCTAGCCTCTGCAAACACAAAAATTATCAATTAATGAAGCGATCTAATGGCCATACATAATTTAGGACTCACCATCAAAATTCCACAAGCAAAGCAATATCTGCTAACCATGGTTTGAAAACAATTACTAATCTCAATTAAGAAGTCAAAATATCCTCGCAATTTTTTTTTTTATTCCAGAAATATCCCAAACTCTACGCTGGGCCACATATTTTCCGTCAACTAACCGAAGATTTTACGTTACGTTTTCGTGGTTATCAGATTCGAATCAACTAATTAAGCATTCAGATTCCAATAAAGCCAGCTATCCCCATTCCACTGCACCTCACGCTCTTCTACAACGCAAAATCTTCATATCATCTTAACCGTTCATTCTCAAACAGACGTCCTGATGCTGAAACAAATAAATAAACCGCGAAGCACCACATTACCCTAAAAACGTACTACTTATCGTTATCCCCCATTTGTTTTATACGCTTTACCATTGCTCTTCACAATTTCCCCTTCCTTTCCACCTACTCCGGCAGCGATGGCCGGACAGACGTGTTCGTCGCCGGCGTTAGCCGCACTTCTCGCCGGCGGAGCTGTAACGGGGAACGCATCTGCCGCAGCTGAGTACATCTGCTCGCAGCTGCAGACGGCAGCCCTTATGAGCGCCGACATCACAACGGCGGTGGATACCACCTACCTCCTCTTCTCCGCCTACATGGTCTTCGCCATGCAACTCGGCTTCGCGATGCTCTGCGCCGGCTCCGTCCGCGCTAAAAACACCATGAACATCATGCTCACCAACGTCCTCGACGCCACCGCCGGCGGCCTCTTCTACTACCTCTTCGGCTTCGCCTTCGCCTTCGGATCTCCTTCCAACGGCTTCATCGGCAAACACTTCTTCTCCTTAAAGTCCATCCCATCTCCCGGTTTCGATTACTCCTACTTCCTCTTCCAGTGGGCTTTCGCGATCGCCGCCGCCGGAATCACGTCTGGCTCCATTGCAGAGCGCACCCAATTCGTCGCCTATCTAGTCTACTCCTCTTTCCTCACCGGATTCGTCTACCCTGTAGTCTCCCACTGGTTCTGGTCATCCGACGGCTGGGGATCAGCCAATCGAAATCCAGGAGATTCCCTCCTCTTCGGCTCCGGCGTAATGGATTTCGCCGGCTCCGGCGTCGTCCACATGGTCGGCGGCATTGCCGGCTTTTGGGGCGCTTTCATCGAAGGCCCTCGCATTGGTCGATTCGACCACAACCATCGCCCCGTCGCCATTCGCGGTCACAGCGCCACTCTCGTCGTCCTCGGCTCTTTCATGCTGTGGTTCGGTTGGTACGGTTTCAACCCCGGCTCCTTCATCACGATCGTCAAATCTTACGGTCCAATCGGTTCCCCGATCGACGGACAATGGTCCGCCGTCGGCCGCGCAGCAGTCTCCACAACTCTCGCCGGCTGCTCCGCCGCCCTCACAACTCTGTTCGCAAAACGGTTCCATACAGGGCACTGGAACGTGTTCGATGTCTGCAACGGGTTGCTCGGCGGGTTCGCCGCAATAACCGCCGGCTGCGCGGTGGTTGAACCATGGGCGGCGATAATCTGCGGCTTCGTGGCAGCTTGGGTGCTCCTCGGATGCAATTTACTGGCTGAGAGATTCCACTACGACGATCCATTGGAAGCGGCGCCGCCTCACCGCGGGTGGGGGGGGAGGGGGG